TTCACTGAAAGGCAGCACCCGCTGTTATACTCTTCATTTTCAGTTTTTTATCGGTTTCGGGAATTTGTACCTCCTTTATCGGTATCACTAAATTCTAAAAGAGCCTCTTCAATACAAGAATGTTACCTCAGAAAAAAATGTCAACACATGAGATTCCTTCAAAACGAAAGAGAAGTTCTCGGTTTACTCGGTTTACTGGGATGCGCCATGCATAAGACTTTCATATGGTAGACCGCAGTGCTGAAAATACAATTTGAAATTCAAAAACACTCTGAGTTTCTCATCTGACCACCGCGTACTTGCAGTCATTTTTTTGAATATTTCTATTTAAACGAATATTTATTTATTTTCCGTTTCATTTGCTATTGATCAAACTCTATTTTAGCTCCATGCCCCACCTCCTCGCTATTATCAACTCTTTATTACTTTTTTTAGTTGATACATTCAGAGAGTCAAGCGTAACATCTGCGAGTGGCCGTGCTTTATCCGTTTTTTGTTCAGCCATCGTGTATTCATATAAAATAGGAGTTTCTTCTTGAAAATATGCTCCCCTTCCTGGCTTCCTGTGTTGGCTCTACAGTGCCAATGAACCAGTAAAAGATTTTCTTATTTAATTTTCTTGCTTGGTCTCTGCAGGTAACTGGTTGTCCTTAGAAGCAATGAAGTGCGTCAGCGATATCGTTTCAATTCCCATCTCATGGCGTTCCATGGAGAGCTCGGTCAGAGCAATTCTTTGTATTTCAGAGCTCCATCATGTCTGGCTCAACTCCTTTCATGGGATGCAGCCATTTTCAATTCCCCTCAAATAGGATTTATTTAGGAACCGAGAAAAGATATTTCAATTCAGATAAAGTCTGAAATCTGAAGATAGACTGTGATCTAAAAAATTGTAAATCAGCAATCATCCTCGCCAAGTCCCCGTAGAGGCCTTCAGTCGTGTAACCTAGCACATCCCTACGGTTGCCCGTTATGATCGACCACTGTAGCTCTGACCCCAAGGAGGCATTGACGATTACGCCATCGAAGGGATATGGTCCTCAGCTGTAACGGACGTATCCCCACGATCGATTTGCGCAATGACCACGATGGCCCAAACAGCAGATCCCTAGCGGCGGCTCGATGCTTTGACTAATCCTA